CGGGACCCGAAGGGCCATCAAAGGCTTTAAGCCAAGGCTGCAACTTCTAGAGCTAGTTCTCATACCCGACTGATCTTCCCTTCCAAATGGAGGCTGGCAGGAAAGCTCGTCTCTTGATCCTATTCCAGCTCGCTGGCTTTTTCGACCATTCGTTTCGGTTCCTTGGCCGGCGGCCCTTAGATGAAAGTGTTCCAACTTCCTCTCGGCCGCTTTCTGCCCCCTGCTTTAAAAAAAAAAAAACACTTTTAGTGGTTTGATACGGAAAACCCTGTAGTTGGCAAAAAGAGAAAGTCCTAGCATCCAAGCAAATTGCACCGAAGTCTTGACATTCGGCAGGGTTGACCGAAATGCTTGGCGGCGGTTCCTGTTCACAGCATAATCTGAAACCAAACCGTGGGCCGCAAAAGGCTTGCAGGAATTGCAACCATATGTGGGACACTGGAAAGACACAGCCTTCCTAGTGACTGGGTCATGCGCGTCTCCGATTTATTCCCAGATCGCACCTTTCTTGCGCCTTCGGGAAGGTGGGAATTGCCTTGCTTGCACATCTGCAAAGCGGCCTTCCCGAAACCTCACCAAATCTTAGCCATGTCAGTCTGCCTTTTGAGATATCCCTTGCTTGGTGGATCTAAAGCGAAAGGAAAACCGCCATGTTTTGCTGTCGGTGTCCGTTGCAAAAGACGAGCACCCATGTAGCAGCTGCCAACAGGTATCTCAAAGGTCGCATGTTCAAAACCGACTCAAAAACCGCATGGTGCCGCTAAATCGCCCCTGCCCTGTATGGCGGATTGCATCGCGGTCACCAAAAAAAAACGCGCGATGATCCAAACACGTCATTCGTAGAAGTCGTTTGGGGAGGCACATCTTGGTCACGCCTTGAACATTTTTGGGGGGAGAATCTTCCACGATAGTCTGCACGTCTGGCCGCCTTAGCCAACTTCCCAAAATCCCCTCCTAAAATCATACAGGAAGAAAACACTTACAACCAAAATCATGGCAACTGCCAAGCTTCACAGAACAAGAACCACTGACAACTGCTGAAAGCTGGATCAACGTGAAAAACACGCTGCCTCGCAAAGCCGACCCCACTCTCTGCCCTAGGGCCCCCCCAGTTAGCAAGTGTCGAGCCCCCTAAAATGGTTGCAGAATCGAAAAGCAAGCAAAAAAAGGTCCAAGTTGAAAGCAACCGCCGAAAGGCCATAAGCACCATGGCCTTCCAGATTGATGGAAAGCCGGACGCCACTTGCTTCGGCTGCTATCCGATACTATCCGCAGAGCAATGGTTGACTGAAGGCTACCGCCAACCAAAGCTGGCGTCGGGAGACCTAGCTCAATGTCTGCAAACTGCCTCAGCAAACGCGTCACTGCACCTGACTTGTAGTTGCACAAAAGCTCCAACCAGGGCCGCCACAACTTGTTCCAACAAGTTTCCTAATGTTGACCGCGGAATACAACCCCTGTTTGATAATATGGGTGTTCCCCTCCAAAAGTGATGAATCCCCACTAAAACCAGGTTAATAAACAGGGGTTTGTTAATGCTTCTTCAACATTACAAGCTTGTCACACAAGCAAGCCCCTAAGCAAACAAGCAAAGCGAACTCAGAACAACAGCAATGCTGTTGCTAATTCGCGCAAGCGCGCCGACCGGCGCGTGCAGTGGCCATAGGACTCGGGTGTTTTCTCTCGCGCCGGAAGTACAGGCGGCCACGTGCGACCCTCGTGAAGTGGGCGGTGAAGGCGAAGGAGGCGAGCCTGAGGAAACAAATCAGGCGAGCCTGAGGGAGCATGACCGAGGACATAGTCAGCTGAAATGCGGAGCACTCTGCAAAGCTCTGGACCGTGAGAGGCCCTCGCCCGCGTAGCGAGAAGAACCTTGAGAGGATGTAGCCAAGCAGAAGGCGGGTTGCAAACTCCCCGCGGGTTTCACGCACCGCGAGGAGCCCTGGTTCTGCGGCGGTCCTGCAACCAACCAGACACCTGGGCGATGTATCAGGGAGAACAAAACCTGACCGAACACACTTCCCCGGCCTGCTCTGAAGCCATGCTTTGGCCAGGTTCAACCAAGCTTTCGGGTGCCAGTTGCTTCTGCGGCCCTTTTGCAAGAGCAGAAACTTCATCAGGGAGCGGAATCATCAGCTGCACAGAGACGGGCGCCTTGGCACATAAACCAAGATCGCCCATACAAGATCGGCTCACGCGAAGAGTGCGCCCACCTTGAGTACGGGCTCCGGGTGGCGCGGGCAAGGCGTGGCACCCGCCCGATCAGTTTGGAGGCGCAGGTGCTGCTAGTGCGGAGAGACCAAATGCGCCGAATTCTAGGGGGGCTGGCATCCAGCGTGCGCTTGCATCTGTGCTCTTTTCTATCTGCGGGAGTCTTTGCTTGGATGCGCTTGTGCGCGGCCGAAGCAAGCACGTAAATCACTGCCCTTATCCACTGCATCGAAAAAAGTGCCCTTGGAAAACCCTTGGGGGAGCTTCGTTTTAAACCCTCCCGAGCACGCACCTGTGCGGGCAGCCCCTGTACTTCTGTGATGTTATTGTAGGCCACGTCGAGGATCTGAAGAGATTTGGACAGGTCGGTTTGCCATCTGCTCCACACCACCTCAGACAACAACAAAAAAGAACACTGGGCTGTCCGCTTTCAGATCCCCAGCTAAAAACTTGTGAACATTTAGTGGGATAAATGGAAACCCCACTAAATCCTAAGCAAAATTCTAAGAGGATGGCTGGGAGCCACCAAGTTCCCAACCCTGGGTGCTTGTGCCAGTACGAAAAATAAATAGAAATTCTGAAGGGAGCCTTCTGAAGAGTGATCTTTGTATGTCCCCTCTTGACAACGAGCCAAAAGGAAGCTCAATTACGGGAATGCAAGTTGCATAAGTTTAGTAGGGGCCAGCAACAAACATAAGATGCGAATATCTACGTGGCCGTGGGTCAAAATCCAAATCGGTTAGCCCCAGTGAACATCCGATTCAATCCAACCACTGAAATAGACTATCTAAAATGGGTGGTGAATGCAGCAATCCCAAAATGGGACCCACCAAAACGGTTTGGACCGCCACGTTTGAAAACTTTGGCTGACTCCATGGCTTTGATTCTTGGCATCCCAGGCCCTCAAAAACGCGAGCCGGGCGCTCAGGGTGGGAGCCATGGGTTCACTGGACCTATGGGCTTTTGGCATGGACTATTCACTGGAAGGAAACATACAGGTGGATTCTCTGATGTGGACTTAATTTGGTCTTGGAGAACCCAAAAATGTGAATTCCATGTCCCACGGCGGAACAGTCCAGCGAACCTGGGGCAACGCCGGTTGAAATTTGGTCGAAGCGTCATCGTTCAAGCTGACGGCCTCCATATATTTCAAGTGCACCACCGTACCTCACGGGGTCAATGAAATCCCCAGAGCACCGGGGGACCAGCATCCTGGTGAAATCAAGCCCAACCACAAGCTTTCTGGGCTTTCCAGGCTCTCTGGACGGCGTCTTAACCTAATTTGGAGAAACCAATCCTGTGGAAAGGATCATGGAAGCGGTCAAGGGGGGAAGTTGAGACAGCTTTGGCTCGGGCCCCTCCTTCGATTCATCTGTGAACCACTCTAGGATCTCCTGTCGCTTTCTCAAGTTGGCCAGACACTCTTCATGCGCAAGCAACCGGCTTGCTATCCAGCACAGAGCCAACTCGCAAGCCACAAGATGTTCCAAAAAAAGAGTGGTCCTTAACCCCGAAAAGTATGAGTAGTCACCAGCAGTCACATTTTTGGCTGCACCGGTTCTACCGTGTTGAAACTCAATGTCCCTGGATTGTTCGTCCCTGCTTGGCTCGGCTCCCAAAAGGCTCTTGAAAAGGGGCCCCAGACACTTCGACATACCGTTCCAAATTGAACAAACGGCCTGACCAGCTGCCTCTTCTTTCAGTTTGAGGTTTTGTGGCTCGGCGGGTTCGGGTTCCGGCAAGCCGTCTCTGCGCTTGGATCGATGAATCCGATGGATCCGATGGATCTGCGCCTGTCAGATTGCACCTCTCCGCCTTGATCTTCGTCAGATGCGGAGATGCCGCCAGAGGCTCCAGCAGGTCTTCCAGGCGTCCGCCCAACGGACACCCGGACACCTCGGATCCCAGAAAACGACCAAAGAAAACTCCAGCCCCCCACCCCCCCCTGCAGCGTTGAGTCTTTGGTTCCATTTCCCATGCCATTTTGGGTACATGTGTTTGAGCCACAGCCATTTCAGGTGCCCCACCTGACCTGTTCAGTGTCCAAGGTCTACCCTTTTGTTGACGCCCTTCCTTGCGCACATAGTTTAAGTTCCCTTGAATTCTTCACGCGGGTGTTACAAATCTCCGCCAGGAGAGGTGTCGCTTGCGGTGTCCCGTTAGTTTGTCCTGAGCCCCCCCGAAAAGCGCGTTCAGAGAGAAGGGCACGATTTGCGATCAGTTGTGTCTATTGATTGTTCGTGTCGGGTTGCTCGATGCCCGCAATGCGAAACGCACATGCGCAAAACAAGATGTTGTTTGGACATTCCTCGTGCACTGGAAAGTCGTAGTCTCAGAGCTGTGGTGGCACAGTTGCAATCAGTTTGTACATTCACAGAATATACTACAGCGAAACATCCAACATGTCCGAGTCACAAATGCTAGTGACCCGTTTGATCATGTTCGGAATCGATCCAAATGTTTTTTCTCGGTGGCTAAGGCACATATAGTATGTTGCTACGGTATATAGAATTTTCCCACTGTAATTTGTTCTGAAGGTCTATCTGTGTTGTGTTCTGTTTTTAAACCTATCGACCTTCATGCAAACACATATATATATATATATATATCGGTTACGTGCTGCTTCGGACGTCACGAAAGCACTTGTTCGCCCTCAAAGCCGTCAAAAGCTGAAGCAGACTCCAGAGACAAGCAAGAAGCAACATGAAAGACCTGCAAGGCCGACCTGGGGCAGGAAACAGTTCGGAACGCAAAACCATCCCCCAACCCCCCCAAACACACCCCCAACCCCCCCCCCCCTGAAGACAAAACGTGCAAACGAGCGCGGAATGAAAGTGTACCCCAAAAAAGAAATATATATATATATATACTTATTTATTAGCACTATCACGATTGCATGGTTCTTTGATACAGAAGATAGACAAAAAGCCTGCCTTGCTCTCGCGCAACAGTATTTTCACATACCAGGGACTTCCAGCACACCACAACCTATTAGACATCAGGTTCTTATCTTGAAACAAATCCATCTTCTCCTTTGGGGATTAGCGGCCCCCTCCCAACACAAAATCCCAGTTTGGCAAAGGCTGGGAGTGGGAGTGTCTTGGGCGGGTGAAGAAGGTTTCGAGGTACTACCATCCCCACCCACCTTTCAGCTTTCAGCGCGCGCCACGTCAATGGTTGGGGAAATCTAACAGCCCGATTCCTGATGGTCAGTCCTATATTGCTGTGTACCTTTTTATTGAAGGTGTGCGGTTCTGGTGTCCCTTCAACCCCCCCCCCCCTAGCCCCCTCTTTGCCAATTTCCAGAACTGGCCGCCCTAGTTTCTGAAGGCGGGCAAATTTGTTCGAGCAAAGGGCATGATATGAAATGGTACAGTCTCACGAGGACATGCTGGACCCCCAAAGCCTGACATCGTTAGTTGAGAAAGAGCACTTTCAAGTAGTTGGTCTGAAAGGGAATCTGCCTGCAAGAAACAAAAACATGGGAGCCACAACAGGCCTGAGAAAATAGCGCAAGGCAAGCTCTGCCCATAGACAAGCCACTTCCAAAGCCATCAAGGACGGCAGGAGGGTCTGATTCGGACGTTTCGCGTTGTACAAGAACCTGCGCTTCTTCGGCGTTCCAGATTGCTTCATGAAAGATTCCAGCAAAACATGCCAAACTATTGGGATGTCACTCTGCGGCAGCTTGCGAGTTTTCTGACAGATCTTGGAACCTAGGAGTGTTCCCCAACGATTTAGGGTTGACCAAAAGGTCCTTTACATCAAGGTGTCAAATTACTCAAAAAAATCGGGTGTGTTTTTGCTGCGCATGGTAGCGGCGGTGGTGATACGGCGGTGGTGATACGACTTGCACAGACTACTTGACGTGGCTCACTTCGAGGCCCCCGTTCTGCGTGAACAGTTGGTCTGGAGACTCTTCATGCCCGTCCGCGGGCATCGTCTTGGTCTTGATCCAGACATGGAGTTGTCAGGAGGCTCATCAGCGTAGAGAGGATCTCCGACTTCCTACTTCCGCAGTTCCTTGCGGCTGCGAGCAGTGTTCGGGCATGCTCCTCCTGCGAAACGCTTCCAGCAATCCGAACTTGAACTCCTTCTGCAGCCTATCCATGACTCTCCGCACCAGAGTAGGTCGTCCACGAGTGAAATCATCATCCCGATGATCTTGCCCAACTTCAAGTTTGGCATTGAAGTTTGTGCCAACATCCGCACCGTGTCCTTCGATAGTTGAGCGCAGTTCCCAAACATTTCCCGCGATGTCCGGCTCCTTGCTCGCAGTGGAAGAAAACCAGATTGCGCCACGTCCATCTCTGGCAAAGCTCCCACTCTGTGGGTGAGAAAGCTCCACGGTTCACCTGGTTGTCCTTCACGGTCAGGGCCTCGGTGAGTAGATTGCAGGGCCTGTGAAGGGAGTCAGTAGTTGACCAAGGGGGGGCGGGCCTTGGTCTCACACGCTGCACATACGAGGTCTTATCGGCGGCTGCGCGCAAGAGCCGCTGGCATGTCAAGTCATAATGCACCCTCCGCGAAGCAACCCGCATGTTTTTGGGAAGCTCTCTCCATCTGTTCTTCTGCTCTTCTTGCTCTATCGCACGAGCGCCTTCTTCCTTCATGATGTCTTGCATCTCCTCCTGCTTCTAGCTGCGATCTCCAGAATCTCCAACATCTTCAGCAGCGATGATGAAATCCAGGTACTCCAACTCATCATCTCCAGCCAGCCCTTCGCATCGTTGCTTTCCTTGGTTGCAGATGCACTGCGTCAAGTATTTGAGTGTACCCTCTGCAGCTCCGCTACGGCCGTAGCAAAGCACGTTGGCTTGAGGCAGCTCTCCAGCGATGCAGTGCGGAGATTGTAGCCGCCTTTTGCACCCCTGCTCCATTGCGGCTGATCTGGTTCCACATACGCTTGTCTTGGTTGCGGACATTCTCCAGGCTCGCCTCAACTGACCTCTCGTCACGGCCTGCGTCTGCTTCTCGACGACTGCCAAATAGCCCGGAATTGCGTTGTCCTCCATGCGACGCACACTCTCATCAAGGCTGTCCTTGCTCTGACTCCAGCCCAGATCCTTTCCATCGTCCAGCCAGGTCGTCATCCTCACCGTCCTCGTGCGCCACATCCACAAACAAACCGGCCACTTTTTGAGGGGCGATCTGATCCTTGGAGCTCAGTGCTCCGCAGCTCTCCTTAGGCTAGGTCTCCGTTGAGCAGGCAGAGCTTGATGTTGATGCCATTCCACCTCCGGGCACATTCTGGTCAGTTGCCCTGCAGCATCAGGCCAATCGTCTCCCTCCATCATCCAGCTGGCCAGGTTCAGACGTTCGTCTTGCCTTCCTCTGATGAAGCGAAACTGCTCTTCTCGGCATGCTGCCGGTCCTTGAAGTAGCTGCACAGCGCCCTCATGCCCAGGACCATGCGCTTATTCATTCGCTCTTCGGCAACATGATCACAGTTGAAGTCACCCTTGAGTGCGGTCCTGATGAGCAGCGGTGGCCCTTGCTAATTTTTGCGTTCAGCAGTCAGGAGCTCAGAGCTCAGGTCCAGCATGGCACGACTCTTCTCTTGGACGTCGTGGTTGCTGCTCCTCCTCAGAGAGACTCTGCTCTTTCCTCTCCTTGGCCTTGACCATGAAGACTTTGGTCGCTAAACTGGAAAATGCCACTTGCCCTTTGTGCTGAGGGACGCGTCCTCGTCGTTGCCAATGAAGGCGTTGAAGCGAAGCCCCTCCAAGATGGCTCGCCATTGCGGCGTGGGCGTAAGGCCCAGGAGCAGGAGTGACGAGACACTGGATCAATTGCGGTGCCGCGCGTCGTGGCGGTCGTGATGCGACATGCCTTTACACGTCGTGACATGGGTTTTCCCATAGACCGCCCAATAGGGAAACCACAAAAAAAAGTGACTTTCATGGGAAAAGTAACGCTGGTCAAAACTGCAACTCGGTGCTTTTGGAGCCCCTCGTCCTGAGATCTTTGAGATCCGCATCCTGCGGCAGAAGCCGCACTTTGCTTTCCTCAAGCACAGGAGTTTGAGTGGGTCTCTCTCCTTTGGCACGCAGGTTTTGGGACCAAATTTGAGAACACCGAAGTGCGCGCGTCTTCCAGGTTGGATCAGCAAACGTAATTCAAGATCAGAAACAAGAGAAACTCCTGCGAAGGGGGGAGATACGTAGACGCCCCGGACACTCCAGTTGAAAAGCAACACCCTCCAGATGAGGGGTCCCTGCGTTTTTTTACACCCCCATGTGGATGGTCCCATTTTATCCTTCCGAACCCTACAACATGTGCGGGGCACAGGGAGCAAGTCACTGCGGTGTTCCGAGCTGTTGTACCATTGGTGCAAAAGGCGGTGGTGTCCATCACAGTTGGGGCTGTTCAAATCCGCCCAGGTGCCACCGGACAAGCAGTCCCTTTCTATTTTTTCATTTGTGTGGCGGATCCGGCTTCATTGCCCTAGCGTTCGCAGTGGCTGCTCATCCGAACCGTGCAATACCAAGACGGGCAAGTTTATTTGCTTGAGCCCGCTCCTATCTAAAAACCAGGGCATTATGTTTCTCCTGCGTTGTCCAAAAAGATTCAAACTAGGTCCTCCAGTAGAGAGGTTGGAATAAGGGTACCCTTTCCTGTATTCTGTAGTAGGGGAACCCTCCCAAACAAAAACGGTAAAAGGGCACCTAGCTTGGGACCTGGCAAAGCTTGGTGCGGAGCTCAGGCCCGCGCACTGAGCTTCAGCGTGCGCAGTCGCTTGCAGCAGCCCCGCCAGGAAGTGGTGAGCCGCCCAGTCACAAGAGTCTTTGACAGGTCGGCCTCCGTCAGCCTCGACACCGAGTCAAGAACAAAGGATCGGAAAAGCCCCCCACATCACCCAAAAAGGAAAGGGCGCCCAAAACCACAAGATGAACGTGGTGTTCTACGGACAGCTTAGGTACCACCACCACCGTTTGGAGCAAAAACAACGGGCTTCAGCAGGCCCAAGTAGGTATGAGGTTTTTTAGAATGAAAACCCAGTAAGGAAGCTGAGAATGGGGATGTAGTTGTTACTATAATTCGTCAACAAGATCTCCTGTCTTCGCGTTTACCGGTTTGGAGAGGGTGAGGATTCAAGAGGCCGCATGTATTTGTCTTCACAAATACTTATGTAGCATTTTGTATCAAAATAACATGGCTGGTATTTCCTTGGTGTTATGCAACTGTGTACATACCAAAAGCGGTAAAAGCGGGCTTCGTCCAAAGCAACTTCTCCAGCTTGACCAGCTCGCCCAGGTCACCAGAAACATTGGTGCCCGCAAGCCAGAGTTGTCGCAGATTCGTCATCTCGCCCAGGGCCCTGATATCGCCTGACACCATCGTTTCATCTTGTTCTTGGACAGAGGCGGTCCGCGCTACATACATTGCATGCTTCCACACATTCCACACATATCATGCACATTCATACATTCCCTACACGCCATACCTTTCACACACTACACACACTACATACACTACATACACTACATACACTACATACACTACATACACTACATACACTACATACACTACATACACTACATACACTACATACACTACATACACTACATACATTGAATAGAATACACACACTACATACATGACAACCATTACACACATTACACACATTATATACATTACATGCTTCCATACATTCCATACGCAGCAAACGTTACATACAACACATACGTCACATACATTAAATACATTGCATTCCTTTACATACATTACACACATCTATACGCTCCATACATCCCATATGTTGCATACCTTTTATTCACCGCACACAATCTCATAGGTTAACCCCCCACCCCCCCCCCCCACCCAATTTTCTCCCTCCCAAATGTCAAAATCTCAGTAAGACTCCAGCAAGATTTGGCATGGAACCCCAACCTCTCACGAACTGCATAGCCTGGAAGCGATATTGCGTGCCACTGAATGCTTGCTGAGCCTCAACCGCCCATGCGCTCTGTTCTTTAGAGGGTGCTTGAAAAGTTCTGAATTCGAGCGCTGCTAACCGGGATTCTAAAAGCGCTGTTTTAGGCTGTGATTGAGTGTTGCTGAGTGCCACTGAGTATGCTGAGTGCTGCTGAGTGCTGCTGAGTGCTGTTGGGTGCTATTGAGTGTTTGATGAGCCGGGAGTCCAAAAATGTGCTTTTTTAGGTTGTGCTTGAGTGTTCCTGAGTGTGCTACTGAGCGCTGCGTAGCGCTGCTGAGTGCTGCTGAGTGCTGCTGGGTGCTGCTGGGTGCTGCTGGGTGCCTTTTGGCTGCCACTGCGTGCTTACTGAATGCTAAGTTGCTGATTGCCACTGAGTGCTTTTGACTGCTACTAGGTCTACATCCGCTGACGTTCAATTCACAGGTGTTCAGTGTGAGGCGCAGTTGCAGAACAAATGACCTCCAAGAAAATGACAGCACACATAGGAATCATGACGGTCCAACTTCTCAGCAAGACTCAGTAGCACTCTTGAGCAGTTTTGTGTCTACCAAGCCCTACCAAGCCCTACTAAGCCCAAGATTCAAAATGTGTTGCTTCATTTTTGAACCCGAAGCCACTCAAAATCACATCTGAGAAGGGGATAGGGAGGGGGGGTTAACTAACCTATGACCACCATACATTTCACACATGACAAAGCACATGCATTACACAATTACATGCGTCACATATGTTTCATACCTCTCATACATTACTTGCATTACCTACGTTACGCACATGATATATTGCATACATTACATACCATGCATTGCATGCATTACTGCATTACAACCCGCGCATCACCCAGCATCCTTCTCCAGCATTACGCTAGTTCTCAGGTGAAAGATGATAGCGTTTTACAAGCAAAAGGTTGCACCACAAAGCCTGCGTCAAGTGGTATGAGGACACCAGTCATCCTCGAGACATGGCGCATAACAATGGGTGCCCCAAAGTAAGGTTGGGGGGGCCCGAAACCAACGTTTCAGACTCTTTGCAAGATTGCACACGTGACACTAGAACTCTTGAGTTGATTGCACGTGGAGCTCTATAAGTTGTAAACAACTAGGCAGCTTCAAAGAGGCAAATAAAAAGACTGAACGCCAACGCGACAAATGCTGACACCCTTTGGCTGTGGCTCAAACAAGACAGCGCCCACGAACCCGAACGTCACTTTGCGCAAGCCCAACAAAACATTTTCCGGTATAAGCCAATGGGGCTCGCAATCAAGCCTACTGCGAAAACTGTGCTTTGCGTGCTCCACTTGTTGCTACAAAGCTACGATTTTCAATCTGGAGCTGGACACCTGCGCTTCGCGCGCTAGACTTGTACTACAAAGTTGCGATTTTCCAGCTAGAGCTGGAAACCTGTACTTTGCGTACTAGACTTGTACTACAGAATCGCAATTTACCAGCTGGAGCTGGAAACCTGTACTTCGCGTATTAGACTTGTACTACAAAAGCGCGATTTTTGCTAGAACCCTGTACTTCGCGTACTAGACTTGTGCTACAAAGTGGCGATTTTCCAGCTAGAGCCAGAAACCTGTACTTCGCGTACTCGACTTGTACAACTTTTCAAATTTACGATTTTCCAGCTGGAGCTGGAAACCTGTACTTCGTGCGCTAGGCGTGTACAACAAGGTTGTGATTTCCAGCTAGGGCTGGACTTCGCGCACCTGTGCTTCGCGAACTAGACTTGCACTACAAAGTTGTGATCTTCCAGCCACTTCCGAGCAACACTTTTGAGCAACACTTCTGATTCGACACTGCTGATCGACACTCCTGACCGACACCTCTGAATGACAGTTCTGAGCAACACTTCTGACCGATGCTTTTGATCAGCACTTCCGAGCAATACTTCTGAGCAAAAACACACACACACACACATGTAAGCGACGCTTTTGAGCGACACTTCTGAGCGACACCTCTGAACAACACTTCTGGGCAACACTGCGCGGCACTCCTGAGCGACACTCTGAAAACACCTTTGAGCGACACGTCTGAGCCACACACAATCAGCAACACTGCTGCTTGAGCGACAATTCGAGCAACACTTTTGAGCGACTTCCAATCGACACTTCTGAACGACACTTCTGTCTCCAAATGCGCACCGCGCCACAGCGAGAGCAATTCGACCCACCCAAAGTGCGCAGAGGGTTCACTTTGCGCACTCAAAATGTGCACCGCACCACAGCGAGAGCAATTCGGCCCGCCCAAAGTGCGCAGAGGGCTGACTTCGCATGCTCACAATGTGCACGGCGCCACAGCGAGGACGATTTGACCCACCCAAAGCGCGCAAAGGGCTTGCGTTGAAAATGCGCACCGCCCCACAGCGAGAGCGATTTGACCCACCCAAAGTGCGTAGAGGGTTCGGCTCGCGTTCGCAAAATGCGCACCGCGCCACAGCGAGAGCGATTTGACCCACCCAAGGGCGCAAAGGGTTCGCTTCGCGTTCTCAAAATGTGCGCCGCGCCACAGCGAGAGCAATCTCGCTGAGTCAAAGCGACGTGCCTGCCACAAAATCTACACCCAGGCGCCAAAGTACTGCGCCTGCCACCAATTTTGCGCGAAAAGCTCCAAAGTCCTGCGCCTGCCACGAAATTCAACCAAAACGCTCGAAAGTGCTGCGCCTGTCACGCAAAGCAAGCTTGCCACAAACTCAAAATCATCCAAACTGCTGGACCTGCCACGAAATCCAACTTTGACACGTTTACCACACGCATGGAAAACTAGCACGGGACTGTGGCGCCAGAATGATTTCAACCAATTTTGACATGTTTCAGGCTCACCAAAACTAGCCGATTGCACGACAGGGCAAACGAAAACGGCGCCGGCGCAACCACTATCACGCGCCTGCCAAGCAGGACACCTCAAAGCGACCACCCCTGGATCGCAAATCCCACTGGCATGGCAACGAGAACACGCAGCCTTCCAAAACACTGCGCCTGCGCAGCTACGATTCGCGCACCGGGTCAATGAAAACACACTTGCCGATCCATCAAAAACACGCTTCCACGACGAATCCCAATGGCACACGCTTCTCGCCTCACCGCGAACGGTTGCGAACGGCTGCGAGCTCTGGAGCAACTCCTCACGAACACAGCCTCCACCCCCAGACCCCCACTTATACACGAGAACCCTTCGCTACGCATTCGGGAAAATGGTACCACAATGGAACCCTCGTAAGTGGAAACATGGACCAAAACCTGCGTAACCCCTCCTGCTTAATAAGCCACAGCCCTTTCTTTTATCCGTACGAGTCGAGCACAGGGGTTGCCTGATTCCTTGTCTCCCCCATGGTGTGGGCGGGAATCTTTTTTTGGCCAGCTTGTTTAGCCACCACTATGCCACCCTGGGCCAATGCGTGAACCATGAATGTTCACATTGGTGCTTGGCGACAACATCATTTAAAAAAGGTTGTCTGGCATGTTGCTTCAAAATGATTTGCACAACTCCAAACAACGAGGAATTGAGAATCATGTCACAAAGCATGCGCCATCACAAAGCATGCGCCAATGTCTCACCTCAAAATCTTGCTTGCGCCAAAGGCGGAGATAAGAAGCGAGACGGTATAAAACTGGGTTGTTCGATGCAAGAGGGAAAGCAAATTGTCATACGCATTTGACGGAACAATTTGCAACAATGCTTAGCTTACATACCAAACATTACATACATGACACACATTCATTCATTCCAAACATTCCATACATTCCGTTCACTGCGTACCCTCCATGAGTTGCATTCATTGCATACATTCCATACAATACGTCACGCATTTCATTGCATACACTACATACACTACATACATTCCACACACAGCACACATTCCACACATTGCAGACATTCATACATTCCTTACAAAGCGTACAAGCCCAAGCTCTCCCCGCCAAATCTGCTCATCCCTCTGGCCTGAGAGCTTGGTGTGCTTCATGTAGATCACCTATGTGTCTCCAGTGGCAAAGTGTGCTACACTGACGGAAAGCGACAAGGTCGAAACCAGAATCACAACGACACAACCCGCAATAGAGCAACGCTCAAAACCCAAAAAAATCGATTCGCTCTACCAACACAAGTTACAAAGGTTTACATTGCCAACCCTGCCTCGAGGTTCCGAAGCTTCTTCAGGCCCTTCAAGTCTCCGCTAACATCCGTGTCAGTCGCCAGCAACCTCTTCAGAAACTGCATCTGCCCCAAACTCTTCACGTCACCCCGCACCTCCCGCCAGAGGCTGAAATCTCATGGACCCACTTTTCAGTGGGCGGCGCAAATCAAGAGAGGGTTTGAAGGGCCGACAAGAACTAGAAGGAAGCAAAGAACAACAAATTGACAAGCAACCAACCAGAAAAGTAAGAATGCAAGGCAGAAATAAGGCCATGCAAGGCAACATAACGGAAAACAAAGGGAAAACAAGAAGGGAAACCCAAACAAACACCG